TGATGTCGCGTTGGGTGCGCTATTGACTTCTGTATCTTGCGATTGCGACCGAGGAAGGAACGCTTTCGGCCTCTGGGTTCTATAGCCTGAAGACAAGGCTACTAATTCTACGGAGTTCACAAGTCGTCGGACCCTGATTCGGTCACTGTGATTATATTCGTAAGAGTATAAGCACGCCGAATCGAGACCAAACTATATGGGCACAGGTACTCGAATGTGATGTATGTCTTGATGGTAAACGTAGTTCGGCCGTCGGAATGCCGAACCCTGAAACTTATTTGCGAGTATCCAATCATAAACTCACTCGGCGTCCAATACGCCGAGCAATGCAACTCGTAACACCCAACTACGCCGAAAAGGCTTAGTTAGATGACCTCTACCAACAAAGGTTCGAAAACCCTTCTCGGTCGAGACTTAGATAGATAATCGGTCGACCTCGACGCAGTGCTGTTTATCCAAACTGAAGGTGTTACTCGATCGGCTGATTCTGCGGCAGCAGTGCTGTTTATCCAAACTGAAGGTGCTCACCGGTTGCTTCCACAGTGCTGTTTATCCAAACTGAAGGTGTGTCGGCAGGAAAAGAAAAGGAAAAATCTCAAGGTGTTTGAGAGGTTTTGCGCAGGGCAATTGCATGCTGATTGTCAAGGTCCTTTCTATTGCGTAATTTCTTGTATTTATAGCACCTCGCTCCTTGAATCCCATTCTGATTTGGATTGGGAGTCCTTGTCCCATCTCACCTTTAACTCGAACAATCCTAGTCCTACTGGGATTCTGAATTCTCCTCCTTTTGAAGCTTTATCCCTTGCCGGTCGAGAATCCTGGTCGCACCAGGATTTCCTCGACCTTTCCTCATTCATCTGGACTACTTAAGATAGGATCTGGCCGACCCTGCCAGCTGGTCCGGGTTTCATTATTTGGCCCATAGCATGTGTCATTACCTTGGGCCGAGCACATCTTGCTGCTCGGCCCAATCATAATATTTTGGGCCCAAACAAGTACACTTATGGAAACCTTCTTTGAGTTTTTAATTAGGGTTTGGAAGTTGGTTTGAACTCTAACTAGTGGTTTTTGTTAGTTTTTGTCTTGGTTTGTGTATTGTTTTGGTAAGTTTTGCAATAGAAATGAATGAGAAATTGAGGAACACAAGAACCTAGAATTTCAAAGAAAATGAAGAACGAAAAGTGGAGTATGTTGCTCCTCTTGGATTCAATTTGATTCAGTTACAGATCACAAACACTGAAGAGGAAGGAATATAGTCGTTGCTTCCTTCACACTTGCAGCATGACTTGATGATGTGCAAAACACCTTGATCACTTAAACACACACAGCTAATATAACTACTGGCATACATCTGACGGTCTATTACACGAAAAACATGAGCTTAAACCCAAAAAATGAAAAGCAATCTGTTGAATAAAATCTGCACCAATGCTTGTCCTTCAATCCTCCTTTCTAAAACTTGTTGCGTATTTGACTCCAAGTAATCCTCTAAGCATGTAGAATCTGTCCTTTTGTAAAGCTTTTGTAAAGACATATGCCAATTGCTCTTCAGACTTGCAATAAATCAGATTGATAACGTTGGAATATTGCAAAGTTTCCCTGATGTAGTAATACCTCCTGCCAATGTGTTTTCATCTTTGGTGAAACACATGATTCCTTGTTCTTCACCAAAATCCTCCAACACAAACTTGAACCACACTGCCTGAACTGTTGCTTCTGCAGCTCCCGTACTCAGCCTTTGCAGTTGATAAAGCTACACAGTGCTCCTTGACTGAAGCCCAAGAAAAAATCCCACTACCAAATGAAAATCCATAGGCCGAAGTGCTCTTCATATCAGATTCATCACCTCTTCAATCACTATCACAATATGCAATCAACGGTGATGATTTCCCTTTTTCATATTCAATTCCATTATCCAAAAGTACCTTGAATGTACCTTAGGACCTTTTTGGATGTTCCAAGATGTTTCTTGGTAGGATTGTGCAGAAACCTTTATAACAAACTTGTAAACATTATATCAGGCTTTGTTGTACAAAGCTTCATCTACAAGATCACCTCCATCATCATTTTTCAATTTTTCATTCACAGATAGTGGAGTACTAACTAGTTTACAATCCTTCAATCCAAATTTTCCAAAAAAAGTCCATGCATATTTTCTTTGGTTTATGAAAATCTCATGCTCAGATTGAACAATTTCCGACAATAAACCAAAAGATGTCATCTCATCTCGCTTCATCATGTTTGCTTTGAACTCATTTATCAACTGAAGACTGCTTCTAGTATGGATAATATCATCCACATAGATTGACACAATAATGGATTCAGATTCACCCCTTGTCTTGATATAGAGTGTAGTTTCACTTGGACTCCTTGTGAAACTATACTTATGCAGATTTGATTCAATTTCTTCGTACCAGGCCCTTGGTGCTTGTTTCAAACCATAAAGTGCTTTCTTGAATCTATAAACCTTGTCTTCAGCTCGTGCTACTACAAATCCCTCTGGTTGATCAACATGGACTTCTTCTTGCAGAACACCATTGAGAAATGCAAACTTGACATCATGTTGGTAGAATTTCTAACTTCTCTGAGATGCTAAAGCAATCAATGTTCTTATAGTGTCTAGCCTCGCAGCTGGGGCAATAGTTGAAGTTAATACCAAACTTTTAGGTTAACTTTTGGCTACAAAGCTTGCCTTGTGCTTCTTTATAATGCCATCTAGGTTCAATGTGGTCGTGAAAACCCACTTGAATCCAACAATTGGGTTATCCTCAACCAAATCCCATGTTTTGTTCTTCTCTATCATTTCAGTCTCTAAATTCATTGCTTTCTTCCAAGCACTATTAGATGCAACTTTCTTCTCATCTCTCATGTTCAATAATACTGAGATTACATTTTCTTAGATATCACTAACTTTCTTCAATTTTACTGGAGTGTCGTGTGAATTACTTGATTCTCCAAAAGTCTATGTGAATCAACAAATATATGTTGCTGAGAATTTCTCCCTTTTAGCTGAACTTATCTCTCAGTGTTAACCTAAGTCATTTCAATCTCCTTGTGCCTCTCATTCAAATCTAAATTCACAGGAAATGACGTTGAAACATCTTCTTTAGTTTTCCAGTCCCAAGTTCCATTTTCATCAAATATCACACTTCTTGAAAGAAAATCTTCTTGACAATCACATGATGCTCAAGTTTTCTATCTTCAAAGATTGCAACCTTGTCATCTCTAAATACCAGAAAATAACCATGTTTTATCATTTTCCCCACACTCAACAGATTCTCATCCAATCCTGGAACTAGCATCATTTCGTTGATGTTTCTAGTTCCATTCTTGGTCTCAATAACTAATGTACCATTTGCAATGGCTTGTACATCCCATTTTGATTCTTATAGTTACATCTCTGTCAACATTGATAAACAATAATTCATGTGAGATCATATAGTTACTGAAACCACTATCAATGTACCACACATGTTCATTCTTAACAATTGGTGCGGAATTGCAGGCAAAAAAGCATTGCAGTTTCTTCTCCAGCTTCCTTGGCAGAGTGAACTTGTTGTACTATCTTGCTTCTGCAATCCTTGGCATTGTGACCAAATTTCTCACGCTTAGGGCATTTTGGCTTCTCTTTAAACCAACATTCACCATAATGTAAACTGTCACAAGTCCTGCAAATCTCCTTTGAATTCTCCCTACTTCCGTTGTACTTTATAATTGCATTAGACTTCACAGACCCCATTTTCTCCTTATTCTTCCAAAACTTCTTGCTCTTGGAACCACTAGCCTGTGGGCTATTCCTAGATTGAATACCGAGACAACTGAAATCCCTCTCAGTCACATCTCTAGCTTCAGCATGCCTCAATAATCTTTTTTCAAAACCCTTGAGAGTTGCTACAACCTCAGTGGGGTCAATCACACTGATTTTCTTAGTTCCATCAATCACAGATACAATGTTATCAGATGTTGGGATAAGACTAATCAATAGCTTTTCTACAATCCTCTTATTCGACAATTCTTCACCATAGATTTTCATTTGATTAATCAATCCAAACAGCCTAGTCAAATAATCAGACAATGCTTCACCATATCTGATTCTAGAATATTCAAAATCACAACGAATACCTTGAAGTTTCACCGCCATAACTTGTGAATCACCCTTGTATTCCTGCTTCAAGACGTCCCAAGCTTCCTTAGATGTTTCTAGATTTGCAATCCAAGGAAAGATCTCATCGGATACAGCCCCCTGAATAAGTCCCAATGCCTTTGTAATGAGGTCTTGAATCACGATCTGCTTCTTCTTAGTGAGTCCTTCATCGGACTCATCTGGAAACTCTACTCCTTCATCTACAAATTTTCACAATGCTGGGATTTGAAGATAGTCTTCGTCCTAATACACCAAAAGTCGTAGTTGACTCCAGTGATGGGAGCTCAAAGCTCAGCTCCACATTCAGCCATTTCGTTCTTTGATTCAACTAAGTTCTTCGTTGAAAACACAGAAAACTCAAATCACAGTTTCACACCCCTTGATTCAAGTCAAACTAAGCTCTGAGGACATGTTAGTGTTTGTATTGGTTTGTGTATTGTTTTGGTAAGTTTTAAAATACAAATCAATGAGAAATTGATGAATGCAAGAAGCTGGAATCGCAGAGAAAATGAAGGAAGAAAAGCAGAGTACGTTGCTCCTCTTGGATTCAATTTGATTCAGTTACACATCACACACACACTGAAGAGGATGGAATATAGCCGTTGCTTCCTTCACACTTTCAGCATAACTCAATTACGTGCACAACATGTTAATCACTTAAAAAACACATGGCTGCTGTAACAGCTGGCATACATACAATGGTCTATAATGTTATAATCTTAGTCGTCTATTACAAAACGTGAACGACAAGAACTTAAACCCAGACTATGAAAAACAATCTGTTTAAGAAATTCTGCACCAATGCTTATCCTTCAACAGTTTTTATGTTAATTATCCGTTGCGGTACATTTTGTAGAAATTCAAGCATCTTTTGGAGCCTATAGTTACTCTCGAGGGATTGCTACATCACCCTGTGACAGTGTTGTTTAAGTTTTGCCAAAAGCATGGAATGCGTGTTGAAATCCAGGGGTCGAGAAATAATACCGAAAATTTAAGTATTGCTTGTGTACGTGTTGATGGTTACATCGTTGCCTCGGCTTCTTATAAGCATATGGAAATTGCTAGGCTTTCTGCTGCACGAACAGCTCTATCTGAGTTGTCCAATTCATTCGACATAAGCTGTAAGTCGGTTAAAGTTGTTACAGAAAATGAAGCTAAACAGAATTTGAATGTGCTTTGTGACAAGAAGAGGATCCCTAAACCAACTTACAAGTACAAACTCTTCAATTATTATTATTATTTTTTTTTTTGTGTTTATAGAAATATGTTGTCATAATATTTTAAATAATCCACGAATATTTACTTTGCTATTGTAGAATTGAGAAAGAATCTGGTCCTGCACATGAGAAGAGATTTGTATCATCAGTTGAAATTGCAACTGTAGAGCTAAAAATGATGGGAGATGAAAGGTCGACAATAAAAGATGCGGAGAATTCTGCGGCTGCCTTGATGATCCTTTGTTTACTACAATCTGATACTATGACCAACACCAAAGAAGCAGGTAATAGTAGGATTGGTTATTTTCCCTCAGTACTCTACAGACTTTGTGTTATGATTCGTTGGGTGACGAGGCTGCTTGTTTTTTGTTTCAAAGGAATAAGTCTGTTAGTTATTTTCTTTACCGTGGTCAAATTAGTTATTGGGTAGCCTTTCTCTTTATTTCCATATTTGGAGGTCACTCTTGATTCCTCTTGGAATTTCAAAGAGCTTGTTTGTATGGCCTCGTTCGATGTTCAGGACTAAATAAGAATGTTGGTCATTGATTGAATGTTAATCATGTTCTACATTCATATGCACCACCAGATTTCGCAACCCATGACAAGGAGAAATTTTTATGGGTAAGCACAGAATCAAGACAAAACATATGAAGAAATTTGTATCCTCAGATAAAATTGCAACCGCGGATGGTGTGCTATCATGACAGGAGATGAAATGTCGAGAATAAAAGATGTGGACAACTCTGCAGCTTCGTCGATGATCTGTGCTGTACAAGAATCTGGTTATATATGATACAACTCTGATTTTTTATTCTTCTTCCTGAGATATATATGTGCTTTGTATGTGTGGTAGGTTCTTGTACATTTGAAATTTGAATGCATAGGTTAGAGGAAAATTCCGTATGGCTGGAGTCCTGCAAGAATAACCATGGATTATAGGAAAATAATGTGTTTCGTGCCTACAGGATTTAGGTTAGGATTTGATCCTGTAACATGTGGTTTGTGCTCACCATAGTTTTCGGACCGGGTGTGCCCTGTTTCAAGTGTTGGCATGATTGGATAGAGTTTACTGGCAGTTTAAGTTCGACAGAGCACTTTTGTATCAAAATTTATATGATCTAAAACAAGTGACCTACAATCAACAATAGAAAATGAAGTATAGTTTTATGCTAGTCTAGGAGCTCAATTTTTATGGTTTTTTTTTAAAAAAAAAACTTAAAGGTGATAGTCCTGCGATGGCTCGGAGACATGGAGAGACAAAATGAAACAAGTGAAAGATTGTCCTTGTCTCGGCTCTTAAAGCTACCAGAGCAGATTAGGCATAGAAGTACTCTTTAAAAGTTGAAGTCGTCAATTAGGTGGTTTCACTGCTAACATTAATTGTTGCAGGTGAGGTATGGTGCTTAGTCAGTGCAAGGAGCTTACCTAGAGATTGTTGAGAATGAATCCCACATCGATGGAGGAGATATCTTGCATGAAGCTAAATGGTATCAAAGCACTACGTCCTCAGCCAAATGGTCACATGCGCTCTACGTCACCCCATTTCTATTGTTGCTAGGCTTGATCAATATAGCTACTTCCCTCCACTTTGCATGGTTGTTCTTCACCGTATAATAGCCCCTCACTCTCCTTATCCCTTACAAATTTTACAACCTCGCTCAAGCTCTCCTTTGAAAACCGCCCATCTTCTTCTCTCTCCACCTCCATAGCAACCTTGAGCTCTTTAACCAGCAACTTGGTTACCAAGATCTGGTTCACCAGTCGTGGAACCAGAACAATCTGATTTTCACTCAACAAAGACTCCAGCATTGACCCAAATCCACAGTGAACAAAGAACCAACTGCAGGGCGGCGCAAGATCGACGTTAGGCTGTTTAGTGATGGCTGAGGGAGCAGGAGGATTTCATTGTCAGTCGAGCTTTATGGCGGAGGCAGAAGCTATGCGCACTGGCCTCACTGAATGATTGGAAAAGGGGTTACGGAAGATTGAAGTAGAAGTGGATGCGAAAGGTCTGGTTGAGATGCTGAAAAGTGGAGAGGTTTTGGATACATCGGTGGAAGGTATTCTAACGCAAAATCAATTGTTAAAAGTTGAGAAACTCAAGATGTTTAAACTTTTGATGCAAATGGGGAATCGATTCCGATGATTCATCAACCAATCCCTACACGACAACCTCGGCCACACTGTATTACCCTTATTCTTTTTTCTTTTCCTTTAACATTCTTTTCCGCAAATAGGGAATAGATCCCTTACTTTGACTATTAAGATTGCTTAACTGCTTTCCATTACTACTTAAGAGTTAATTTTTTGGTACTTCCAATTCCAAATCCAACTAGCTAGTTTTACTTCACCACACCTCAACGGCGATATTCCAATTCAGCAACATGAAGCTCTTCACTAAGTCAGCATCCCTCGATCGCAATCTCCAGCCATCGCCGGAAATGAAAGACAAAGTGATGGCCATGGAGAAAATCGTAGGCCACAACTTCAAGAACAAGAGGCTTCTAGAGGAAGCTCTTACACACTCCTCCATCACTTGCTCTCCCTCGTATAAGCGTCTCGCGGTGCTTGGCGACGCCACCCTTGAACTCGCTATGAGTAATCACCTCTTTCTTGCTTACCCCAACATGGATCAAGACAACTTCACTAATCTCCGCTCCGCCAATGTTAATAACGTGAAGTTCGCACTCGCCGCTGTAAAACATGGTTTTTATGGCTGCCTTAACCAAAAATCATCTGCGCTCGATGATGAGGTCATTGTCTGAGCTCTCTCTGGTTTCTTTTAATTGTTACATACTGTATTATTATTATTATTTTTGGTACTATTTTAAGTTGAAAAGTTGAATTTGCAATTTGTGGAGGTTTTTAATTTTCAGAGAAGCTATTACTGGCTATTTGGCATATTAAAAAAAATAGTACATCATAAGCAAATGTAATAAAACTCATGCAGGATGAAGGTTTTTGTTTCTTTAAACGCCAATTATAACATCTCTTTTTGATTTGTATAATAAGTTAAATATTATATTTGACTCCATGTGTGTTGAGAAAAGATTGATATATCTTAACATATAACATGAAAAATGAGATAAAAAAATATGTATATTACATGAACTTTTGATTACCATCTTATTAATGTGAACATTTCTTATTTCTACGAAGAAGTTTGTAAATGAAACAGTCGCATAAGTCAGTGTCTTAAAGCGGGTGCCTCTTTACCCCCTTTTGATGTAACTTTTCTAGTGTTTTTCTTGTTTAAGTTTGCTTAAAAGATTTGTGGTAAGTAATGGTGTTTTTACTTTTGGTTTTATGAGCAATTTGGTTTAAATTTTAGGTTGGGGAGTTTGCCAAAGCGGTATCGGAATGGAATGAAAAATATGAGATGACGCTTGTATACGATGGGACCATACAACCCAATCATGTTCTTGGAGATATTGTGGAGTCAGTGGCAGCTGCTATATACATTGACTTGAACTTTGATCTGGACAAACTATGGATGGTGCGTATTTCATTTGCTTGTTTCATTTTATATGACAATTATGGAAATCTTTCATTGAGTTTTTAATTAGGGTTTGAAAGTTTGTTTGAACTCGAACTAGTGGTTTTTGTGTTAATTATCTGTTGTGGTACATTTGTAGAAATTTAAGCATCTCTTGGAGCCTATAATTACTCTCGAAGGATTGTTAGATCACCCTGTGTCAGTGTTGTATAAGCTTTGCCAGACGCATGGAAAGTTCGTTAAAATCAAGGGGGACATAAATGATACCGAAAATTTAAGTATTGCTAGTGTGTATGTTGATGGTATCTTAATTGCCTCGGCTTCTTATAAACATATGGCAATTGCAAGGCTTCATGCTGCAAGAAAAGCTCTACCTGAGTTGTCCAAAACATTCGGCATAAGCTCTGAGTTGGTTGATGTTGCTGCTGAAAATGAAGCCAAACAGAATTTGAATGTGCTTTGTGACGAGAAGAGGATCCCTAGACCAACTTACAAGTACGAACATCTTCAATTACTTTTTTTTTTTTTGTTTATAGAAATATGTTGTCATAATATTTTAAATAATCCACGCATATTTACTTTTCTAATGTAGCAAAGAGAAAGAATCTGGTCCTGTACATGAGAAGAGATTTGTATCATCAGTTGAAATTTCAACTTTAGAGCTAAAAATGATGGGAGATGAAAGGTCGAGAATAAAAGATGCGGAGAATTCTGCGGCTGCCTTGATGATCCTTGGTTTACTACAATCCGATGCTATGACCAACACCAAAGAAGCAGCTAATAGTAGGATTGGTTATTTTCCCTCAGTACTATACAGACTTTGGGTTATGATTCGTTGGGTGACAAGGCTGCTTGTTTTTTGTTTCAAAGGAGTAAGTCTGTTAGTTATTTTCTTTACTGTGGTCGAATTAGTTATTGGATAGTCCTTCCCTTTATTTCCATATTTGGAGGTCACACTTGATTCCTCTTGGAATTTCAAAGAGCTTGTTTGTATGGCCTCGTTTGATGTTCAGGACTAAATAAGAATGTTGGTCATGGATTGAATGTTAATCATGTTCTATATTCATGTGTACCACCAGATTTTTATGGGTGGCACAGTATCAAGACAAAACATAAGAAGAAATTTGTATCCTCAGTTAAAATTGCAACCGCGGATGGTGTGCTTTCGTGATAGGTGATGAAATGTCGAGAATAAAAGATGTGGACAACTCTGCAGCTTCGTTGATGACCTGTGCTGTACAAGAATCTGGTTATATATGATACAACTCTGATTTTTTATTCTTCTTCCTGAGATATATATGTGCTTTGTATGTGTGGTGGGCTCTTGTACCTCCTGTTGCATTTGAAATTTGAATGCATAGGCTAGAGGAGAATTCCGTATGGCTGGAGTCCTGCAAGAATAACCATGGATTATAGGAAAATAATGTGTTTCATGCCTATAGGATTTAGGTTAGGATTTGATCCTGTAAAATGTGATTTGTGCTCATGTAGTTAATTAGGCATAGAAGTACTCTTTAAAAGTTAAAGTCGTCGATTAGGCTTCACTGCTAGCATTAACTGTTGCAGGTGAGGTATGGTGCCTAGTCGGTGCAAGGAGCTTACTTAGAGATTGTTGAGAATGAATCCCAAATTGATGGGAGGAGATATCTTGCATGAAGCCAAATGGTATCAGAGCACCACGCGCTCAGCCAAATGGTCACATGCGCTCTACATCATCCCATTTCTATTGTCCACGTGCTAGGCTTGATCAATATAGCCACTTCCCTCCACTTTGCATGGTTGTTCTTCACCGTAATACCCCCTCACTCTCCCTATCCATTACAATTTTTACAACGTCGCTCAAGCTCTGCTTTGAAAACCGCCCATCTTCTTCTCTCTCCACCTCCATAGCAGCCTTGAGCTCTTTAACCAGCAACTTGGTTACCAAGATCTGGTTCACCAGTCGTGGAACCAGAACAATCTGATTTTCACTCAACAAAGACTCCAGCAATGACCCAAACCCACGGTGAACAAAGCAACCAAAAGTCTGTAGAGTAGTGTGGTTGAGATGCTGAAAAGTGGCGAGGTCTTGGATACATCGGAGGAAGGTATTCTAACGTAAAATCAATTGTTAACAGTTGAGAAACTCAAGATCTTTAAACTTTTGATGCAAATGGGGAATCGATTCCGATGATTCATCAACCAATCCCTACATGACAACCTCGGCCACACCGTATTACAGCTTATTCTTTTTTCTTTTCCTTTAACATTCTTTTCCGCGCAAATGGGGAATAGATTCCTTACTTTAACTAATAAGGTTGCTTAACTTAATTGCTTTCCATCACTACTTAAGAGAATTTTCTGGTATTTGCAATTCCAAATCCAACTAGATAGTTTTACTTCACCACACCTCAACGGCAATATTCCTATTCAGCAACATGAAACTCTTCACTACCTCGGCGTCTCTCAATCGCGAGCTCCAGCCATCGCCGGAAATGAAAGATTCAGTGACGGCCATGGAGAAAATCGTAGGTCACAACTTCAAGGACAAGAGACTTCTAGAGCAAGCTCTCACACACTCCTCCATCACTTACTCTCCCTCATATAAGCGTCTCAAGGGGCTTGGCCAGGCCGCCCTTGAAATCGCTATGAGTAGGCACCTCTTTCTTGCTTACCCCAACATTGATCAAGGCAACTTATCTAAGCTCTGCTCCGCCAATGTTAATATGGTGAAGTTCGCATGCGCCGCTGTTAAACATGGTTTTTATGGCTACCTTCGCCACAATGCACCTGCTCTCGATGATAAGGTCATTGTTTGTGCTCTCGCTGATTTCTTTTAATTGTTACATACATACTGTATTATTATCATTTTTAGTACTTTTTTTAAGTTGAAAAGTTGAATTTGCAATTTGTAGAGGTTTTTAACTTTCAGAGGAGCTATTATTGGCAATTTGGCATACTAAAAGAAAAAAAAAATCATACATTGAAATATAAGGAAAAAAAAATGTATTAAACTCGTGCAGGATGAAGGTCTTTGTTTCTTTAAATGCCAATAACATCTTTTTTAATAAGAAAAAAAATATATTTGACCCCATGTGTTTTGAAGAAAGACTGATCTGTCATAAAAGAGAGAGAAAAAATGTGTATATACAATTATAGTCACTAACATATTAGATGAGCTTTTGATTACCAACTAACTAACGTGAACATTAATTTCTTATTTCTATGAAGAAGTTTGTAAATGAAACTGTGTCACACATAAGATAGTATTTCAAAAGCGGGTCTTTTTGATGTAAGTTTTCATTGTGTATTTCTTGTTGAAATTTGTTTAAAAGATTTGTGGCAGCATTAAGTAATGGTATTTTTACTTTTGTTTTTATGAGCAATTTGGTTTAAATTTTAGGTTGGGGAGTTTGCCAAAGCGGTATCGGAATGGAATGAAAAATATGAGACGACGCTTGTATATGATGGGACTATACAACCCAGTCATGTTCTTGGAGATATTGTCAAGTCAGTGGCAGCTGCTATATGTTAAGGAATCTCCTACATCAAAGGAGATCAGTTCGTCAACAACACAATCTGCTCCATCAACTGCACAATTGGAATACAACCTGGACAGAAGGAATATTGCACGTGGCTGCAACATTCCTTGACAGCAGACTACCACATGGTACAGCTCATGTGCTCTGATGTGTTGCAGCATGGACAGCAAGCACGCCACCTTTACAACATTAGTTTATTGCATGTGTGTGTGTAAGATGTATATAAAACAACCAAGCTCATCAAAATTCAAATCAACAAAACATATCAATTCTATATGGTATCACGAGCCCAAAAAACTCCAACGAGCAATTTTTTTTTTTTTTTGATCCCTCTCTTTCCTGTCTTCATCCATGGCCACTGACGCCGCTACAACCAACCTTCTACCAGACCTTAACTCCACTACTCACACCTTGATCACCATAAACGCTACAGCCCAATTACCTGTGAAACTCACACCCACCAATTACCCATCCTGGCGTGCTCAGTTCAACGCCCTTCTTTACGGCTACGACCTCATGGGTTATGTGGATGGTTCTCATCTCTGCCCATCAACCACTCAAACCGTGCTTCGCACCTTTTGGATTCGGCAAGATCAACTCCTCCTTCATGCGATTCTTGCTTCCGTCTCCCCGCAGGTCATCTCCCTTATTGCCTCTGCCAAGACATCCAAGGAGGCTTGGGACAAGCTTCTTCATCTCTTTGCTAGCAAAGCCCGTGCCCGCGTTCTTGGTCTCAAAGAACACCTTACTCTCCTGCGTCGTGAGAACAAGCCTGTCTCTGAGTATCTACAAGAAGTCCGCATTATTGCAGACGAGCTTGCCATCATTGATGTCCCCCTCTCTGATGATGATCTCCTCATCTACATCCTTAATGGTGTTGGCTCGGACTTCAAGGAAATTGCTACGGTAGTTCGTTCCCGCGACACCTCAATCTCTTTTGAAAACCTGCATGACAAACTGGTTGAACATGAAGCTGCTCTCAAGCGTGATGATACCATTGTTGTACCCCCAGTGATCACTGCCAATGTCACTCAGACATCTCGCTTCCACACCTCAAATCGTGGCTTCCGCTCTCACAACTCCAACTCCAACCGTGGGTCCTTTCTCTCTCGCAATCCTTCTTGTAGTTCCTTTGAGCACCCCCACACATCTTCCATTGCCACCAATTCTCGTGGTTCCTACAAGCCCATCCAACAATCTTTCACCGACAATGGTCACCGCTCTACCAACATGAACAACACAGGTTATCGTGGTTTCTGTCAATGGTGTGGCACTCAAGGTCATAGTGCCAAACGCTGCCCTCAACTCCAATCTGGACCTTCCAGTCCGCTCGTGGCCAATCCTACCACCCATGGCCGGTCCACCTCTTCTCCAACATGGTTGCTTGATTCTGGTGCCTCTCACCATGTTACCTCCAATGTCAACACTCTCTTTGGTACAACCATATATGATGGTCCTGATGAAATAATTATTGGTAATGGTTCAGGTTTGGGTATCACACATGTCGGTTCAACCACTTTACCCTCCTCATCCTCCCAATCTTTCAGCTTATCAAACGTTCTATGTGTTCCTTCTATGAAAAAAGACATTATTTCTATCTCTAAATTTAATAAACAAAATAATACCTCTATTGAACTTTTTCCTGATTTTTTCCATGTCAAGGATCTGAGCACGGGGGCGGTTCTTCTTCGAGGCCCGAATAAGGATGATCTGTACGAGTGGTCTCCTAAATCATTTCATCAACCACAAGCCATGGTGGGTGTGGTGGTCTCTCCCAACCTCTGGCATCGTCGTCTTGGTCACCCCAGCCATCAAACTCTCCAACAAGTCCTTCGTATGTCTTCCATTAATGTGTCTTCCAAGTTGTTCAAGTCTGTTTGTCATTCATGTCTATGTAATAAAAGCCATCGTCTCCCGTTTGGTACTTCGTCTCTCACCAGTCATGGTGCATTAGACCTCATTTATAGTGATGTTTGGGGCCCTGCTCCATACTCTTCAATTGATGGTTTTTCTTACTATGTTATCTTTGTTGATCATTTTACAAAATATATATGGCTCTACCCTCTCAAAAAGAAATCTGATGTGTTTTCCACTTTTGTCACCTTCAAAGCACTTGTTGAAAATTACTTCAAAAGAAAAATCACTAGGTTATACACTGATGGTGGGGGCGAATTTATCAAACTCCAACATTTTCTCTCATCCAATGGCATCACCCATCTTCTTACACCACCTCACACTCCTCAACACAATGGAGTCGCCGAACGACGACATCGTCATATTGTTGAAACTGGTCTCACATTTCTTCATCAAGCTTCTTTACCTCTTACCTATTGGTCTTATGCCTTTAAAACAGCTACCTATCTTATCAACCGTATGCCCACTCTGATTCTTAATAATCTCTCCCCATTTACTCAACTCTTTGATGAACAACCCAACTACTCCCGTCTTCGTACATTTGGGTGCTTGTGTTTTCCTTGGTTACGTCCTTACAATTCCAATAAATTACTCCCTCGTTCCCGCCCATGTCTCTTCCTTGGTTACTCATCCAATCAAAGTGCGTTTCATTGTCTTGATCTTTCCTCCCACAAACTTTTTATCTCTCGGCATGTTCAATTCGATGAGTCCACTTTTCCTCTTGCTAACCTCCCTTCCTCCACTCCCCATGTCACGGTTGATAACTCTCACACTTGGGTCTCTTCTCTTTCTCCAGTTACTCATGTTCCTGTCCACTTACCCACCAGGCCTGTTGAGTCGGTTGTTTCTTCTTCACTACCACCACACGTCACAACATCATCATCATCAGAATCTGTCCCTGTCTCAGAACCGTCACCATCCGCTGCCCCGATCCCTATTGCTGCTGTTATCCCTTCTCTCTTACCGTCACCCAATCGCCAAGCATTGGTCCCTACCTCTACCGCACCTATATTCACCCCACCACATTCTTCAACCCAAACTGATCACGTCCAGCAACCTCCGCCCAACAACCCCGTTCGTACATACACTAGAAACCCTCATATGACTGTTGTCACCTTTCCATCCTCTAACCCAACCTCCCCCAACCCCCCCCCCCCCCGGTACCTCTTGTGCTCCCCAATCATTCCATGATCACCCGTGCCAAAGCCGGTATCCACAAACCCAATCCTCGGTATGCTACGACTGCTACTAAACATCCCATTCTCTCCTCAGTTGAACCGACATGTGTCTCTCAGGCTGTCAAGAATCCCCTTTGGCGACAAGCAATGTCCAATGAGTTCAATGTGTTAATTTGCAATGGTACATGGGAGCTCGTTCCTTCCCTTCCCTCTCAAAATCTTATTGGTTGTAAGTGGGTGTTTCGTATCAAACGGCATCCTGATGGCACTATTGACAGGTACAAGGCACGCTTAGTTGCCAAGGGTTTTCACCAACGTCCTGGTGTTGATTTTTCAGATACTTTCAGTCCGGTGATCAAACCTACTACCATACGCATTGTTTTGCATCTTGCCGTGACTCATGAGTGGCCAATTCGTCAGTTGGACGTCAACAATGGCTTCCTTCATGGCACACTCCGTGAAAATGTCTATATGGTCCAACCACCTGGTTTTGTTGACTCTAATCATCCATCTCATGTGTGTAAATTGAGGAAAGCCCTATATGGCCTCAAACAGGCTCCCCGGGCATGGTACAAGGAATTACACTCATTTCTGCTCTCCCATGGCTTTGTCAATGCCATCTCTGATGCCTCACTCTTTCTCTTGAAAAATGGGACTGCTGTAATTTATTTTTTGGTTTATGTTGATGATCTTCTTATTACAGGAAACGATTCCTCACTTGTAGCAAAGTTCATTCACCTGTTGGCAACTCGGTTCTCCGTCAAAGACCTGGGCTCCCTACATTACTTTCTTGGTGTTGAAGTCATTCCCACAGCCACTGGCCTATTTCTCTCTCAGCACAAGTACATTCATGATCTTCTTGTCAATGCCAAGATGGATGGTGCAAAGGCTGTCAGTACGCCTCTCTCCACCATTTACTCACTCATGCTCCATGATGGCTCCTCCCCAACGGATCCCACTCCCTACCGTCGTCTTGTTGGTGGACTTCAATACCTCAGCCTTACACGCCCTGACATCTCCTTCATAGTCAATAAGCTCTCTCAATTCATGCATTCTCCTTCCGAGACTCACTGGCAAGCGCTCAAGCGTCTTCTCCGCTACTTGAAGGGTACCATTTCCTTTGGCCTTCATCTTTGTCGTCGCCCCTCTCATCGTCTCTATGCCTTTTCCAATGCTGACTGGGCTGGTGAGCGTGATGATCGCAAATCTACGACTGGCTATGTTGTCTATCTCGGTGGCAATCTCATCTCTTGGAGCTCCCGAAAGCAGCGCTCTGTCTCTCGCTCCTCTACCGAAGCCGAATATCGGGCCATTGCTGCCACCACTGCTGAACTCATATGGATTCAGTCCTTACTGCATGAACTTGGCATTTCTCTCCCCACAACACCGGCTGTTTCTTGTGATAACATTGGAGCCATGTTCTATTATGCTAATCCTGTTCTCCATTCCCGTATGAAGCATATCAATATTGATTTTTAGTTTGTACGGGATCGTGTCACTCGTGGTCTTCTTCAAGTCTCTCATGTCTCCACTACTGATCAGCTTGCAGACGCTCTAACCAAATCCTTGTCACGTCCACGTTTCCATCTCCTTCGTTCCAAGATCGGTGTCTCCGATGGTGCCACCGTCTTGCGGGGGCGTGTTAAGGAATCTCCTACATCAAAGGAGATCAGTTCGTCAACAACACAATCTGCTCCATCAACTGCACAATTGGAATACAACCTGGACAGAAGGAATACTGCACGTGGCTGCAACATTCCTTGACAGCAGACTACCACATGGTACAGCTCATGTGCTCTGATGTGTTGCAGCATGGACAGCAAGCACGCCACCTTTACAACATTAGTTTATTGCATGTGTGTGTGTAAGATGTATATAAAACAACCATGTTAAGGAATCTCCTACATCAAAGGAGATCAGTTCGTCAACAACACAATCTGCTCCATCAACTGCACAATTGGAATACAACCTGGACAGAAGGAATACTGCACGTGGCTGCAACATTCCTTGACAGCAGACTACCACATGGTACAGCTTATGTGCTCTGATGTGTTGCAGCATGGACAGCAAGCACGCCACCTTTACAACATTAGTTTATTGCATGTGTGTGTGTAAGATGTATATAAAACAACCACGTTAAGGAATCTCCTACATCAAAGGAGATCAGTTCGTCAACAACACA